TGAAAGGCAGAAGAACTCAATGGGGACAGTAAAGGGGGTGAGGCTGGAACCTAGTTCTAAACCTGCCACCTGGCTCTCATTTCTCTTAAGATGCAAGAGTCTCCAGCCTTTATGCAGTTCTTTCTCCTGCTTTGCTCTGTTTCCTCCTTCCTTGTCCACCCACCATCCATCTACCCAATCCATTTTTCTATCCATTCATCAGTCTCTCTGTCTATCCATCAACCCATCTGTCTGTCCTCCCATGCATCTATCAATCTGTCCACTCATCCACTCAGACTCCTATTCTTCCATCTATCCACTCTTCCAAAAGATACTTGTTGGGTATCTTCTTTGCACTGGACATGAGAATCAAAAGAACAATAGAGCCAGCACCCTCCTTACATTGAGACTGCTCCGAGAACAGTACAGTCCTAGAGAAGCCATTAATCAACAATTCAATTTGTATAATTACAAATTGTGACAAGTGCTCCAAAAGAGAAGCACTGGAATGGTTACTTTCCCTTGGTAGTGTCTAACAGAGGAATCTGGCCTACTCTCTGGGTTGGAGGGCAAGCACAAAGACTCAGCAAGTGTTCCAGGCAGCGGGATCAACATGTGCAAAGGCCCTGTGGTCATATTAGAAGATGTCACGGGGCCGGCATTGCTGGTACAGGTGATGTAGAGAGTCACAAAGGATGGGTTGGCAGGAGCTTGGTTGCCAGCAGGCACCAGCTCCTTTGCACCATCTGGCTCATCCTTACTCATCCTCTCAGTCTCAGATCAGGGATTTTCTCTTCCAAAAGCCTTTTCTTCTCCAAACAGTGAGGAGGCCTATTTATTTTCCTCAAATGAGAAAAAATATTCCAAGATTGGAAATAAAGCAAAAGAAAATGACATTTCCTTTGTCTGCTATACTGAGGCATTATTTAAAAGAGCCATTAAGAATAGTTCATTCTTTCAAGGGATATGCCCAGTCTGTCTTCGCTGTTTAGTCAGGCCCAGATTTTACACAGTTATAGTACATGCTAATTTGCAGATTTTGTCTGGTAGAGGCACAAATGACTTTCATCTGGGAAAAAGATAACTCCAAAGGCATGGTTTTATCACCATGTAGGACATTAGGCAGTTTAATATTTACCCTAGACCTTTGTTCGCACATTTCTTTTTTGAAAGCCTGTAGACCTGCTTGGTCTTAGAATGGGTGCTGCCTGCCTGCTGGCCCTGTACTCATGAACCTGTGATGCATGCTGGACAGCCCCTCCTTCAGCTCTCCTCTCTGCTCTGCAATTGCCAGCTGTCCCTGCTTCCTCACTCCCCATAAGCTCATAGGGTGTGACCCATCTTCTGTCACATCCTATTCTCAGAATTTTGCACATGGTCAGGTTCCCAGTAAGAACTTGAGGAGTCATTATGAGCTAAATGAGTGAATGAGCTTATTTCATCTCTTTGTGATCTTATCTCTGAAATGGACATCACAGCACCTATCTGCAATGGATGTTAAAGCTCTGTGAAATAAAGGATTCCAGGGTTCCGGATCCTCTCTGGCATGGGGTGGGCATAGCCTCCCTTATCCTGGGGGCTGGATTCCAGATAGAACATGAGGTTCTGGGGCTCACGGTCTGGTGGGGAGGACACCAAGTCACAGGAAGTGTGGCTCACTGCAGAGCCAGGCAGATTCTACTGCTATTTGGTGAGACAAAAAGCCAAGGCAGAGAGTCCCATGGGACTGCAGAGGAACAGGAAATAGCCTCTAAAATATCAGGCAGAGGTGTAGGGGAGAGGACCCAACCACTGGGCAGGGTGGTGGCTCTCAAAATTGGTTAAAAGGGAGCCATTGTAGGGAAGCAAGGGGAGGAGGGACTGGATTAAGCTATTTCAGCAAGAGATCCAGCGCTACAGGGTTCCTCTGATAACCCGACCTTGCTGTGTGTGTGTGCAGGTGTGTGGATGTGAGGGGTTGTCAGAGTGACCGTGTGAGGATGTATGAGTGAACGTGTATCAATGTGAAGATAGCTGTAGGAATGTTTGCACAAGTATGTGTGTGCATTGAGCACAATCAACTCTACAGCTATAGAGCATGAAGTCTTTTCTCATTTAGTCTTCACTGGGCCCCAGAGGTGCAGGCTGCTACTGTCCCCATTTCACAGATGAGAAAAATGTGGCTTGCTGATGAGGCATTTGCCCGAGGTCTCTGGGCAAAGACTGTGTGGGCAGCTGGAGGGAGCAGGGGTGAGGCACAGGGTGTTTGGAAGGGTGAGTAGTTAAGGGAGTCTCAGGTAGTTAAGGGATGACAGATAAATGGTTGTCCTTGTAGCTGACCTTGCTCTTCCTGCCCAGGTGGGCACTTTTTCTTTCACTGTTTCAGGTGCTATTCTGGTCCCTGGGATGCTGTTTCAAATTAACTCAATACTCCTCAGGTCCCTCACCGGCACCAGACCCTGGGCTGAGTTTTGGGATGAAAGATAAGGCATTAACACTGTTTCAAAGAAATTGTTGGATAGGAGCAGGCATCAAAAGTTGGGGGAGGCGATGGGGTGACCGTCATTTAAAAATTTGAGGTACAACCTACATATGATAAGTGCGCAGCCTGAGGTGGTTTTGCATGTAGAAACCCCAAGGGGCTGTCCCAGTGGCGCACTCAGAACATCTGCTCCCTCAGGCCTTCTGGGCTTCTTTCCAAGGGTAGCCACTCTCTGACCTCTGTCACTAAGGTTTTGCACAAAAGCATTTTTAATGTCATAATCTTGTGTTTGGAAAACAAGCCAAGACCCCGGGCAAATGTAGTGTGTGATGTGACAGGAGGCACCAGAGACTCCAGTGGTGACAGGCCGAGCCCCTGGAGGCTCAGGATACCTCCGCTGCCTGGTGACCAGCTTTGGTGGTGAGACCCTGTGTATTTCCTGGCTTCCACCAGAGTCCTGTGCATGCTGAGCACTTAGTATCTGTGACCCTGTTACTTCCCTGGGAGTCTCCAGGGCCCATCACGTCCACTTACACCCTTGCTGAGGATTTTGGCAAGATGCTTAGTCTGTGTCTCAGTATCCTTATTAAATGGCCAGTAATCACAGTATGTATCTTAGAGGTTAAGAGGATGGAGGGAATTGATATTGAATGTTAGTATCTGCACTAAATTTAGGAGAGTGTCCGGTATGTAGTAAGTGCTTATTTAAAAATTAGTGAAATAAATAAATGTGAGCCCAGTCCGGCTTTGGGAACACACTGGAGGATACAGGGATACGTGGTTGGGTGTTCTCTGTGAGGAAATTTTCCCAAGCACGTGTGTTAAGTGGGTGAGGACTCTGGAAGGCAGAAGGCAGGGGCCTCAGGATGGTCCTCCCTGCGGGAGGATGGATGAGCCCAAGCATTCGTTTCTGCTCCAAACAGGTGCTCGATCAACGCCAAATGCTCGACTGACTTCTTGGTGGGCAGGAAAAGTGCCGCTTGGCACCCATCAACTTTTGTCTCACCTGCCAGCCTCCAGCCCTGGAGATCTGGACTGTGGAGAAACTGCATGAAAGATATCCTCAAGTCTCCTAGCCCGGACACAGCCCATCATCCCCTCTTCCTGGGAAATTCCAGACGCTTCCCTGCCCCCTTGGCCTGAATGCATGCTTTGAACACCTCAATCCTGCAAGCAGCACATATACTTTTTAAGTCTGGACCCCGAGGGAGGTGAGAGCTAAGGGTGGGTAGGGGGCCAGGAGCCTGCTGAGTTCTTGGGCATAGTCAAGGTCCTGGTCTGTGAGGCAGATGACCTCTCTGAGCCCTGCGGGAGGCCCCTTGGCTTTAGTGATCCTGACCACATGGACTGGTATGTGGGTGATGCCCAGTGGATTGAATTTAAGTCCTAGCCTGGCTTAAGATTCACTGGGTGAGATGGACCACGTCTATGTGCATTTCCAGGCCTTGATGTTCCTTTCTGCAAATGGGTACAAGCATAGCTATCCAGTAGTGATGGAGGTTGTTGGTACAGTGAGCTGGGCGAGTCAGGTCCCCATTCCAACCCGGGGAAATGACTTCTTTTTTGTCTGTTTCCTCATCTATAAGACAAACAATGAGTTCCTACTGCACATGGTTAACACATGCAAAATACACCTTGTAGCTCTTACCAGCTATTGTTGATTCTGCAATCTGTTGTTACATGAGATGCATTAATTACTCAGTGGTCAGGTATCTGGTACCAAAATCAGGCAGTTGGAATTTGAAGTCCAGCCATACTGCATCACCCATCAGCTGTGTAACTTTGTGTAAGTTATACCACCTCTATAGCCTGGTCTACAAAATGAGGCCATTGATGGTACTAACCTCATGGCATTATAAAATTAAACAGTCTCAATGTAAAATGCTATGTATAGTAAGCACTAATATGAATTTTATATTAACACATTATTCCATTATTATTACTACCAATAATACTCTAGTAGAGGGAAGATAAGGGAAGTAACATTTATTGAGCATCTACTATATAATTAGCACTTGCCATGATCTTCTGGTAAGGATATTATAGGATAAGCATTAGACCCGTACTTGGTCAGAAGCTGGGGCTGGGAGAGCTACCTGACCAAAAGCCCACAGGGAATGAAAGGGTACAGGCCTCTGCTCTGTAGGGTTAGGGCTCTGTAGCAAGGGCCTGCCATGTTACATGCATGGGACTCAGTGCCGGTCACCTCCTAATGCTCCCAGGAACCCTAGCAGAGGCTGAGCTGCCCCCATTATGCAGATGAGCAGTTTGAGTCTCAGGGAAGTAAATGGTCCAAATCCCCATACCTATGAAGTGGCAGAGCCAGAGGATTTACTCAGCTGTCTGGATATCTCTCTCAAGCTAACATGGCCTCCCTCCAGGTGGGGAAAATGAAGGGTTTATGTTGTAAGATGGAGAAGCAGACCAAACTCTGTGGATTGACCCCAAGCCTGGGGCCACAGGCAGTCCTTGCCTAGGTGCCCGAAACAGGGAGACAGCAGCCTCTGAGGAGGCCCAAGGACAAAAATCCCAAAGACAAGGACATACAACATCTAAGATATCATTGTTACCCAGGAATCTTTATTACAAAAATATTTTGCAAGCCAAAAAGTTTAAGTTGCAACTATATACAAAATGGGGCCTGTTTCCTTCCCAACAGTCTGAAAATAAACTCCCCAAACCATACTCCTTTCATGGGGTTGTTTCAACCTCTTCCGTTTCCTGGGACTCCACACACATGGCATGAGGGTCTTCCAGGCTGCTCAGCCAAAGCTGAAGCCACACGCCTGCCTCGCTGGCCTCATTCCCTTACCCACCCCCAACGAAAATAAACAAAATTAAAATGGCACCAAGAAAACATTCTTCTAAAGTCCTGCTTGATGTGTGTGTGGGTGTGTGTGTGTACATGGACACACACACTTGCACACGCTCTGAGAGGGAGATGAAGGTTTACAAGCCAACCCTTTGAAACTGGGAAACAGCTTGGGCAGGCGGCTGGGCACTGACACTCCCAGATGCCAGAGAGGAGCCCTGGCTTGTTCGGCCAATGCTGCCCACATGGCCTGTTGGCTCGGCTCGTGTCTGTGTGCCGTCATGTAAAACACCAAGTCCCTGACCGCAAAGAGCTGGTCCCTGCCGAGCTCCTGAAGCTCCCTCACTGCCCCTGTGGAAACAGGCAGGATGGCTCTGCTTCTTGCTCGGACAGCCTGGGCCCAGAATCCCAAAGGCATCCTACAATGTGGAGCCATGTGCAGTAGTGTCTTGACTGAGTGAGTCCTATGTTAGACCCAATAGCCAAGGTTACAACACTGCCTGGGACCCTTGCACCCAACTGGAAGAGAGGGGGTCAGAAGGTGATGTGGTCACAGCTCAGCCCAGCCTGAGACAGAGGGACAGAGAATAGATCAGCAGGGGCTCACCGCTGTGCTGTACTGGCTGTGACCAGGATCTGGTCCAGTTTCATCCCGATGGGGTTTGAGAGCAGAGATGGAAGATTGGCTCAGAGAGCTGGAAGGGGGCGATGGCCGAATGGGTGGGGCAAATGGCCCAGCTCAGTGTCCGTCTCTCTGCAAGTTTCTAAAGTGCTTGTGAGATGGCTGGGAAGGTGTCCCTCTCTCCTCTTTACGGAAGAGCAGACAGAGGCATCAGATCTGGAGGAGGCTGTGGTGTGGAGAAGCACTGGGCAGATGGCGCTTACTGCAGACCCTGCCGCACGGCGGGGCCCAGGAAAGGCCGAACTGAGTCCCAGAGAGAAGGCTCCAGGAATGTCCCCACTGAGCAGCTGAAGGGACAGTTCTTCCCCATCCTCAGGGCTCTGGACCTTGAAGGAAACTCAGCTTCTGCTGCAAGAAAATCCCTCCAGGATGGCAAACTGTTAAAACCTCAGACTTCACAAGACCCAACCATGAATTTCAACACATGACAAAGAGCCAAGATAACGCTGCTTTTGTTTAAGAAAAAACAAAACGAAACAAAACACCACAGATCAAGTTTTCTAACACCTCGGCTTCAAGATTGCACAGTTCACATTTCTGGATAATTTACAGGCGTCCATGGCGATGCTGCTGAGTTAGTGCTAACTGGAGGAGGCAAGCTCGGGTCTGGAAAGGAGAGGTAGGGCCACACAGAGCATCCCATCACCCTGATCAGTGCCCTGGGAGTCACGGAGGGGCCCAAGGTAGAGGAGAGGCCAGGACTGTTGGCAGCAACCTTACCAAGTCTTGGGAGGTGGATCTCAAGTTTTTACAGCTTCTCCATGGCTGGAGCAGTTTGACTAAAGGGAAAATTTTCCCAAAGCCCCAGCAGGGTGGAGGAAGCGGGAAGTGGACTCTTCTCCTCACCCTAGGTGGCTTCAGAGCATCGAGGAGGCAGCCCAGTCTTCGAGATCACAACCAGATTGGTGCCTGATGATCAGAGGCATAACAGTTGTTGGACCCCAGACGGCTCTGGTTGGTTCCCAGGCCACTTCTCTGGTTGGTTCAGTCACATTGATCTCCAGATATTGGATAGCGTTAGGGAGCAGGATCATCCTGGATGAGCTGAAGAGCCAAAAGGGTGGCAGACAAGGGCCACCCTCACCCCTGGTCCCAGGCCTGAGCCACTTGGCCATCGAGAACCGGCTGGCTGCCCTCATTATGGTCCCTCCATATGGGACAAGAAAACTCATGAGGACACGCCTGAGGCCAAGCAGTCCCACTCACTTCCTCTGGACCTGGACACTGGCATACTCTGAGAAGGATGGCTCGGGCTTGGGGGCCGATGACTTGGGCACCCGGTTGAGGTGGACCATGTCCAGATCAGCATAGGTGAGAGTGTCTTCCAACCGGGACGGCGGGCTGGTCTGAATGCTGGCATACTCCGTGTGGTTGTTGGACTCGGCAGCCTGGGGAGCAGGCTTCTTTTCCTTGGGCAGATTCAGGTCTGCGTATGTGATGTCATTAATGTCATTTGTTTCCTGGATCTAAAGGAGATAGAAAGAAAGCTATTCTGGAACCCTCAATCTGCTCTGGATACCAAGTCTGGGGTCCTGGCCCCTGTGAGCTCAGTCCTAGATTGGCCCCCTTCTCTTGTGAAAGTTACCTGGCTTCAGCCTTACTTCTTCCTAATGGGCTTTTCTGAAATGCTGCTGTGGCCTCTTCGCAGCCCTGCATCAACAGCGCCTCTCAGCTGGAATCACCCACAGTTCTCAGCTCCCTTTTCCCACACTTCTCTGGCCAGTGTGTGCCCTTTCTTCTCCTTACAGTGAATTCTAATCCACCATGTGCATCTCAGTCCACAAATAACTCCACCCTAAAGATGCTTCCCTGCCCTCCCTCCCCTCTGTGCCACTGGCTGGGCCCAGGCCCAGGCTTCCTCCAACAGCACCCACTGCCAGGGACTGTTTTTGGGGCCTAAGTAAGTATGGTCTCCTAGGAGGCAAAGGCACTCATTCACTCATGAGTTTATTCAACACGTATTCACTAGTCATTTGCAGTGACACAGACATCAAGGCTGGTACAGAAGTGCCACTCTTGTTGAAGGGATGGACAGATGCCTGGCTGGCTAACTGGACGGATGGGTGGGTGGATGGATGGATGGATGATGATTGGATAGATGAATTGGGAGGTAGAAGTTCTGGAATCAGAAGGTCTGGGTTTGAATCACGTTTTTGCCTTTTCTATGTGAAGGACTTTGGGCAACTGATTTAATCTTCCTCATCTATAAAATAAGGAAGATTATAGTTTCTATTATCAGAGCTGCTTTGAGGATCAAATGAAATCATCCAGGTAAACATTTAGAACAGAACCTGGCATGTAGTAATACTTTTTTTGTTTTGTTTTGTTTTGTTTTGTTTTGTTTTGTTGAGATAGGGTCTCACTATGTAGCCCAGGCTGGCCTTGAACTCATAGTAATCCTCTTGTCTCTGCATCCTGAGTGCTGGAATTGGGTAACTATAGAGCCCTTTTTACAGATGATGAACTCAGACCAATGGATGCTCAATCATTCAGTCAAAGTCTGTCGGACCCTAGGGCTGTGGTCTTCCCACACCATGGCTTCAATGTCCTGTGCCTGCAGATGCTCATGTGCTGCTATCTAGGAAGTCCACACGGACACTGTCAGAGTCCTGCTTGTCACTGGGAACTGAGGCACACTCCCACTGTCCAACACAAGCAGTCATGACTGTCCTGCTCCTGTCCTTGGTGGGAGCTCAGGAATCTCTGAATGGCTTTCTATTGGTTTCAGTGACCAAGTCATCTCACCATCCTCACTCTTCCTCCAGAAGTCTCCCCAGAAGAAAGTCCCAAAGTGACTGGGGAGAAGGTTTCTCTCTGGCATGACTAAAAACTATTTTGTATTTGCTAATTATGACCCAAGCCTGTGCCCAGGGTTGTAGCCGGTCAGGATGACAGGCTGAGGTCTCTGGCCTACAAACATCACCCACTGCCCTCTCAGCAGCCTGGTCTTTCACAGATTATGTCTAAAATGATGCCAACCGCCTGGGAATGTCAAGGACAGCTGGCGCTCTCGGCTCAGGTCACAGCAGGGCCTGTCTCATTACCAGGCATTGAGAAGCCCTGTGCCTCCGAGGTCTGATGGCGTCAGCTGGTGACAGGCAGGGCTCTGTTTCTCAGAAACAGGTCAGCTATATTGCCTATGAAGTCTCCTTTGCAATGATGAGGAGAAATTGCCAAGTCAAGGAAGGGTGCCTGGGTGAGAGGTAATTAATGACACAAGGTCTTTCCATCAGCAGAGGCAAGAGAGGCCCTGGCAGGTCCCGCTGTACAACTCTTCTAGGGAGGAGTAGTTGCAAAGAGAAGTTGGGCATGAGCTGTGGACAGTGCACTCCTGGCAGAGAAACTGGCCTGAGCAAATGCCGGGAGGCAGAAGGAGAAACCCACATGCAGAGAGGCTAAAGCCTCACTTCATGGGACCCAGGAAGAATCGTGTCCTCTGGAGTTGTGCAGCGAGTGGGTAGTAATAAGCCAAGGAGGCTACAGCAGAGCCTGTCGGCTGGAGCACAGAGAGAATCAGCAGAGGACAGGGAAAAAATAAGTGTATGGATTTTCCACCCTCCTACCTCCCTCCTTGGGGAAAGAGTCTTAATTTAGAACGGATCTGCAACTCTGGTTGCTGCAGGGAAATCACGCCCTGAGTTTCCCAGGCAGGGCAGCTCACCAAGGACTGTACCTGGGTGATTTCTCTGGCATTCTTCTCTGGCTCATGCAACCTAAAAAGGAAAGAGACACAGATAAAAATACCCGCACTATCTCAAGTGCTCATGCAAATCAATAAGAATAACATTTAGGTTCCACTTCCTATATGGGTAGAGGATGCGGATGAATGATTCACAACAGAAATACAACTGCTTATCAAATGTTTGGACAAGGGGATCCATCTCACTAACAAGGATTTTTTAACAATGCATTTTTTTTTTTTAACCTGCATTGGTCAGGAACTTTAAAAATGGTCTGGGAGGGTATGGTGCTCTTGTAACACTGCTGTTGGGAGACACAAGCCATAGACACCATTCAGGGAAGCAGCTGACAAAATCAAGAGAATATCTGATTCACAACTGCACTTTCTTATGAATTCAATATAGAAAGTGTTTTCAAAAGCTGGGCACGGTGGTGCACACCCAGCCTGGGCAACTTAGTGAGATACTGCCTCAAAAAAAAAAAATACTGGGGATGTAGCTCAGAGCAAAGGCCCTGGGCTCAGTGCTCAGTACTGCAGAATAAACAAATAAAAACAAAACAATCTTTGTGTACAAAGACATGTGGCCTGAGCAGGATGGGGGAGGGGGAGGCTTAGACCTTGAGTCTGCTAATGGGGACCAGTTTAGGAAATGACAGTAAATCTACAGATTAAGACTTCAAAGGTTTAGGAGAGCTTTGCTTTTTCTGTTTTTAAATTACAAATGATTACACTGAGGTGATAAGCGAAAAGGCAAGGCTCAATTCTCTGTGGAATAATCTCAATGACGAAAACTGTGCAGTAACAGTGGAAGCAAAGTGCTAACAGCAACAGTCTTTGTGGGTATTTTTCTTCGTTTTAGTTTCCATATTTTCCAAATGTTCTGTATTATAAATATCTATGTATTACCATTTAAAAAAAGAAAAGAGAAAGACCAAGACGTCCCAGTTAATCAAAAAAGCTGTTCATGCACTTGATTCTGTAATTGGAGGCTGTGGTGTAGTTGGCCAGAGGGTCACAGTCAAAGTGATGAGCACCAGAGAAGCCCCAGATGGGTAGGAGCTGTATAAATTCCCAAGCCAGTGACTCTGGGATGCCAGGCCAGGGATGTCAGCACCGAGCAATGGGGCCTGCTAGCGGGGTTATTAGTGGAGCTGGCTCAGAAGACAATCATGGGGTACAGCAAGCTCACGTGGCCAGACACAGCCCTCCAGGACTGGGGACAGGTTGGTGGGGAATGGGATAGATCTGCCCTGCCCCGCCAGCTTCCCCATGCCTGTCTGGTGCAGGTCTCGCTGGCCACTCTGCTCAGCAGTGTCATGTGGTCTGTGTGCTGGCAGTGGGCTCACCCACTCCCCTGCCCACCTACTGTTTCAGCACTGCGTGCTTTGACAACAGCTTTGAATGAGCCTATGACCATTTTTTCTTAGCTAACCTTCATGCATCCTTCAACTTAACTATGTTGCGGGCTGCTTGGGAAGGCTTCATTAACAGTGCCGGGCAGGCCAACTGCCCCTCTGTGACAAGCTCAAAGCTCCTAGCCCACCTTCAACTCTGCTTTGTATTGCTGTCTTCCATCTTGCCTCAACATGTGCACAGACACCTGATGAGTGACTTGGAATACATGCTGGCCAAACTGCCTCAGAGCCTTTGCACAGGCAGTCTCCCTGCCCCTTTCTAAGAGAAACCTTCACTGAACCCTCAAACTCCACTGTAAGAGCACTGAGTTCTTCTCTTTTAGAGCTCATTTTTTCCCTGCCCATCTGTCCGCAGCTCTATTTCAGCAAGAGGCACTGTTACCGCTCACCCCGAGCTTACGCTAAGCAGGGACTCAGCTCTGATTCTTCTCTCTTCCTTCTTGCCCCAGGTCTACCTCACTGCATGGCTGGTTGGCCCCATCTCCAAAATCCATAAATCAAATCCAACCACCTGCTGCATCCCAGCTTCCTGAAGTGCCCCCTCCCTGTCTCCTGATCCGTTCTCCACATTTAAAATGCATAGATGATGTCACCTTATTTTTCCACTCAGAACATCCCCACCCGCTACATCAGTAGTGAAATCCATCTCCTACCCTAAGCTGCGAGGAAGGCTCTGCCACCCACTGTTCTGGATTCCCATCTCCCTCCCTCCCTGCTCCAGCTACTCCAGCTTCCTACCCCCTTTCTGATCCTGTCTCCGGGCCTTGGTACCGGCTGCTCCCTGTCTGCTCTACTCTTGCCCCAGACAGCCCCATGCCAGAGCTGCTCATCCTCAGCTGCTTTCTAAGCATCACCTCGGAGAGGCTCCTGGACTGCCCCCGCACCCTATCCTCTTTCCTGCCTTTCCTTATCTTGTCAGTCCTGCAGCACATTTTTCATTAAGCTTCTGGTATGGCCTCCCCGAGGGGCAGCAAGTTCTGTGTCAGGAGGGGTGAGACCTGTTTTGTTCCCTTCTGAAGCCCCAGCACTTAGCACTGGGGGGGCACAAGCCCAGCAGGCCATAAAGATTTGCTAAGTGAATGAATGAATGAGCTCTATCAGATCTCAAGTGGTAGAGGACCAGGCTTAGCATCTCTTCTGCTTCTCTTTCAATCCCCAGCTCAAGCCCAGCACCAAGCTGGGCTCCATCCAGAGGGATAAATGAGAGAATCACAGAAGCCCAAGAATAAACAGAGTGCATTCTGACAAGGGAACAAACAGTTGGCCGGATGAACCCCACTGCCCAATTAAGGGAGCAGAGACAGAGCTCTCTCCTGTCTTAGCCGGGGACGTGACAGATGAGCTAGGGCCTGTGCATTCCTAACCCAAAGACAGCGAGAGCAGGTGCCTCATGCCTCATGGCTGCAACCTGAAGGGGCCTTTGAGCTCAAGGCATCGATCTCTTCCTCTCCCCCCCACCCAGGGGAAAGCATCTGATCCCAGCAAGCTGAGCAGCTTTTGCTGAATGGAAATGGCCATTGCCGCTCGCTTGGCAGCCACCACTTTGGTTTAGAAAGAGATGAAAAGAGCAAGTGATCTCATGGTTCCCTGGGCAGCGCATGCTGGAGAAATGAGAAATGGGCAGAGAACGCTCTGCTCCTCTGGGGAAGAAGGAAGACAGCAGGGAGGCAGTGAAGCTAGGATGGAGAGAACTGTGTCGACAGGAAGTGGATGCTGGGGTCTAGTCCTGCCTGCCCACTGCGGGCCTTGGGCACCAATATCCTACGACTTCTCTAAGGCTGGCAGCCTCAACCATATGATCAAATTCCCTAAGTGTGGCTTGGGGCATCAGCACCAGTACCCCAAAATCTCACTGGAAACACACATTCTGAAGCAGGGAATGCGGGGTGCAGCTTGTGGGATTCTGTTACATGCTCAAGTGCAGGATGCACGGCCCCACGACAGATGGTAGTAAGTTATGAGATTTTTTTGAAAGAAGAAAAATCACAAATGGGATCATGTGTGTAAAGGGGAGTCCGCACCCCAAGCCCCCTCCATAGGCCCGAGGATGATGGAGCCTGCGAGGTGAGTGTAAGGACATACGCCTTCATGGTTCTGGATTCCCATCTCCCTCCCTCCCTCTGCTCCAGCTACTCCAGCTTCCTACCCCCTTTCTGATCCTGTCCGAGTGTTTCTGCCTCCGGGCCTTGGTACCAGCTGCTCCCTGTCTGCTCTACTCTTCCCCAGATAGCCCCATGCCAGAGCAGCGAGGAAGGCTCTGCCACCCGCTGTTGGGGAACCCTGAGACCCGGGACCCTGTGGAGGGTGGGGTAATCAGCGAGCAGCAACATGAATGCATTTGAAGCAGCAGCGAGGAGCCAGCAGCTGGACTCTGAAGAACCCACCCACAGAAGACTGGTCCCAGCCCCTGCACCCAGAGGCCAGGATCGGCTCTACACCTAGCACCCCTCTGGGACCTCCTTGGACACTTTCACATACCTGAAAACACCAGCGGGATTCTACTACCTTTATTCTTACTTGTTCATCTGACGGGCTACCTCCTTCCTGCCTGGTTGGTTGTCATCTTATATTTCGTGGTTATTTTTACATTTGGGTTTTTTTCTTTCTCTTTTCTCCTTTTTCTCTTTTTAATTTTTCTTTTTGTTCTCTATGTCTTTCTTCCTTTTTTTTTCTCACTATTTAGGTTTCTTACCTTTTTCATTTTCTTCTCAACAGAGAAGAAAATTTTTCCTCTACTTTTTGAATTTAAACTTTCAAGTGAGAAATCACTGTCTCTGCCCTTTTTGATTACTCCACTGTGCTCTACTTCATTCTTTCCCTCTTGTGTCCTCCAGTTACCCAAAACTCAGGTGATCATCCTTTGACCTCCAGACTATATCTGACTGCATTTATCACTTTAGCCTGTCTCTATCTGTATTAATCTCGCTAACACCCACAGAAGGGTAAAATCAGTCCACCAAAGGGAAAGTGACTGCATACAAGTGCACAGTCTGTGTTTGATTTTGTTATATAGATGGATGTAGCAGGTTAATGGTTACCATACTTTTCAGTAAAGCTGCACTTGAAACTAATGTTATTACTAACTTTACTATTTTAGTCAGAAGGTCATACATGTTATAAACAGTTTTTCTCTTCTGCATGATAACACTGAGATTATATGAGATCACAATTATCACCACAGCCCAGTGCCAAAGCATTGGGAGCTGAGCCAAACAGGAATTTTGCATCCTTTACAGATTGGGAAGGTAGGTTCTTGGGACAGCTATAAAGAACCACCTACATCTAGAGGATATCCCTGAAGAGCAGATATCTTCTAGGGAAACCTCAATACTAGTGATAAAGCTATATATCATAAGACACTGGCAAGCATCAACAGAGAAAACAAAACAAAACAAAACAAAGAAAATGACAAGACAAAACCCAGCCCCCCGGCCCACTCAGGACAAGCCTGGAACTCAATGAGGTACTTATGTGTAAAGGGCCAGGTCAGTGAGCAGAATAAGTGCTCAATAAATGCCAGCTGCAACTGCTGTGGTGATTACTGTCACTGCCACTGACGCTGTCCTTTTCTTCCAGCACTTCATTGTGAAAGACAAAAATACAGCCACGAAACAAAACAGGAGAGAGAAGAGGAGGAGGAGGTCTAGGGGACTCAGAGAGGGCAGGAATCAGCACAGCAGTGTTGACGGATGGCGCTCATCCCTTAGTTCACTAACTGCTTTAACAAACCTCTGTGAGCCCCACACCATTCCAGGGATGGTGCCACATCAGGATCTATTAGCTGTGAGCATGATGCATGATGAACATGGTCCCTGCCCCCAAGGAGGGTGGTATAAAATGAGGCTAGATGAAGAGACACCTTGTGCATACCAGCTGGGGTCACAGGAAGCCCCTGGGCCTAGAGATCATGGCCTCGCTGACTCAGAATGAAAAGCAGGAGGTGACCAGGTAAAAGGACACAACTCTAGAGGCTCTGGTTTTCAGAGTTTACTGTGCCTGCTGATCCTGGAGCTGTGGGAACCCCAGCTGGTACACGTGGGGGACACATTCCAGCAGAGAGGCCAGCGTGCAGAGGCCAGGAAAGCAAGGGTCCCAGGCATGGCAGGAGGGGCACGGGGTGGCTCCAGTGAGGTCTGGGAATGGGTGCAAGTGAGAAGGTGGCATATCCAAGTCACGGGCCGGGCCATAGGTCTTCAACATGGTTATGTGTATGTGTGTGCGTGTGGGGGGCGGTCACTGAAGGTTTTCTAGAAAAGGATGGAGAGAAGTCTTGCCCTGGGAAAAGAGAGTACCAACTGTGGGAACGTGAAAGACAAAGGACCAAGGGACAGCATTCTATGCAGGAAGTGAGGGTGCTGCTTGTTCGGGGAGGGAGAGGCCTGGAGGATGGGCTGGGCTCAGCCCTGGAAACTGTCCATGGAGGCCTGAGCAGGAAACAGGCTTCATCTCAAGGACACTGGGGATTTTGTTGCTGTGAAGGAGAGGGACATATGAAGCTTCCCAGAGCCCTGCTGGGCAGGTGAGACATCCTGCGCCATGTAACTATAGGGCCTACTCGTTTCCTTATCACCTGCAGTGCCCCCAACTCAGGACACTGCACCTCATCACTCTCGCCCTTGATTCTCTATTGGACCCATCAACAAGTGCCTTCAAAATATATACAAAAAGTGACCACTTCTCAGCCCACGCAGCACCCTGGTCCAGGCCCCCATCATCTGCTTGGCCTGTACCCGCTTCTTGGCCTTCACCAATACTTCCTTTACGCCAGTTTCCACTTGAGGCCGGGATGATAGTTTTCAAACAAAAGACTATTACAGCCTTTCTATGGCTCATCCTCTCCTGGGAAGTAAAAATCCTTCAAACTGTCACAGGCCCTAGACCATGGCCTCCATTCCTGACCCCCAGTTTCTGCTCCACAATCTGAAATTTAGAAAGCTCTAAGAAGTGAAAGATTTGTACAACTCATCTGGGGGCAAAGCCTCACCTGGACTAACCTGAGGCTATTTAACAATTTTATTTATCACTATGTCCATGTTTCTATGCAGCTACCTACATTCACTGGATAAACTATGCAGTGCCATCTTAGCCCTGCTGGGATGGACACCATATCTGAGGCCTTCCTAAAAGCTTAGAAAGTCCCTTACTGAAAGGTCTGCAGCACACCTACCTTGCCCTCTGCCCCAGCCACGCTGTACATTGCACCCCAGGGTCTTGGCCATTCCCGCTCTCTGCCCCTGCACACTGCTCTTGGTCACAGTACTACCCACGTGGGTGCCCCAGAGGCAGCCCCTTCCTCTGCCCAAGGCCGCCCTCTCCATGGGCCCCCATCCCCTATGTGCTGGAGCCATTGCCACCTGGGAGGACATGCTGGAGCATTTTGCTTCCATGCTCATTGCCTGCATCCCTGCCCACGAAGGCCTGTGTCAGCCATGCTCACTGCTGTGTCTTCATACCCAGAAGACAGCTGCACAGAGTAGGACTCTGCAACACACCACAGAAAATGCAAACCAACAGACTAAGTGCCCTCTAAGACACAACGCTATCACCTTGAGACAGCGAGGCATTAAAGGCAGTTTTTGCTGAAAACCACTGAAATTTCACATAAACCTGCAGATGAAAAGCTGGACACTTTGGCATGTCTGCCTTCATTTTATTATCCTTTATTATCATGAACTCCTGCCTTCTATCATCTGCCTTCTCCTTTATTATTATAAACTTTGGGTCAGACCTCTGCTCAGCTCTGCACTTAAGCATGTTAAGGGGACTGTATAAAAAATAGGTTTATTAGCTCTCAGTTTACCTAATCTATCTCATCCCCTTCAAGACTGAGGATACAACAATAAAACTATGGTATTTTCAAGATTTGCAGGGATGTTCAAGTGCCAGCTTTTATAATATCCTTTTCTGTACCCCCCTGGAGTGATACCCAGTCATTACCCTAAATCTGCAGGACCCTGGCAGACAGAATACCCCATGATGAACCCCAAGCAGGAGCAATCATCTCATGGGAACCAGACTGATCTCAAAACCCATACAGACTTCTCCAGAGCCACCTTGGAGAACCAGACACGAGGTAAAGATCAGACCCTGGTCCTCTGCAGCAACCCTGGCCGCCCTGCTTCCTTTGTTAACAGGCCAGCCTGACCTTCTCCAACAGAGCTGAGCAGCTTTCAGCTCTTTACCTCAAGCTGAAGTCCCTTTCCCGTTTTCTCTTCCTTCTTAGAGCTTATGCCTGTGGGTTCATGATCTTTGGTTCAAACTTAGTTTATATTGTCACTGAAATACAAGTTCCTTTGTGTAGGGCACTCCCCTGAGTTCCTGACTCGGGTTTATCTACCCCCGGCACTCCCCAGGCCACGCTGTGCCCAAGTACTCAACAGTCATGGATGGACAGACTGAAGGAAGAAAGGGGAGTGCAAGACTTCGGTCTGGGGAGGATGAGTGCATACGGGACTTTTGTGAGCACAGAAAGCTTACAAGTTTCTCTACTGTTCTTACGGGATTCCAGAGGGGCCTCTCTGTGTGCAGACAACAGGCTAGCCAATCTGTGCCACTGGCCACAAACCCACTGGTCTGCAGCAGTAACTAGAAAGAGGCCCAGTGCAAGCAGGCTGCAAAGGAAACAAATAGGAACACCCACTAGCCCAAAGTGGGGGCCAGGGTTATGGTTTGGGGGCTGCCATACACTGAATAATAACTGAGAAAGCATCCCCGCCCATTGGTGACTTACCTTGTAGAAGAAGTGGACCCCTTGGCTGAAAAGGAAGGGAAACAAAGTTATTTAACCAGAAATGTTTTTCTCAAGTATTTTGTGGGGGTGGGGGCAAAAGTTTGCCATCTGGAACAAGGGGAGGAATTACTGAAATCTTTTTTTTTTTTGAGGGATTTTTTTTAAACTTTAAAAACAAAAAGCAACAACAAAAAAGAATAAAAACGATACAGAATTTCAAAACAAAATAATAGGAAATCAACACTAGTTAATATATTGCATATTGTTATTTTCAAAGTAGGTGTTCAGATTATAAGATTTGGGCATGAAAAAAATGATTAATCAATCTTATGCTGGGAACCACATCAAAGCCTGTGCCCCCCAAGTGGATGGTCTAGGTGGTCCATTATCTTCCACACGAGGCCATGAGGAGCAAGCCAGGCCTTCCTGCCTCACTTCTGGGAGATGCCAAGATTCTTAGAAGCCTGGGAGGGAGTGGATGCCTCCCCTCTGTGGACCAGCACACCCGCCGTGTGTCCCCCTATGATTCACGTCTCTTCTCTGAGCCTCACAGGGCACCCATTTATTTCCAAGTTACAGTATCACTCTCCAAGAAAGAAAGCATGTTTGCTTCAGAAGTTTGACACCTGTGATCCAGGGCACCCCACTGAGCCTGTGGGGCTCAGCAGCCATCTGACTCCTATTTTGCTGTAAAATTGTAATTAAAAAGCAGCACGCATACCCAAATATGCTAGTGCTGGGCTCCACAGGCTGTCGGCCACCACAGTGCGAGTGCTCTGGCTGCCCAGTAAGCAGGCTGGACCCAGGCAGGGCCTCCACCTTGAGGTGAGCAGCAGTGGTTCTGGCATCTCATGGCTGAAGGAAGGCCCACAGATCCAAGTACTGGGACATAAGACATCTCTGGGAATCCAGTAATTGGACCACACATGCCGTCACATTATAACAGAGATCATGGGACTCACCAGGCTCACACAGCTGGCAAGTGGTAGAGTTCCAATGGGGACACTCACTATGGATAGTGACAGGTGGAGGAGGGGTAGACTTTCAGCACCCAACAGGGACAAGGGAGGACTCCTCAGGGTGGAGGGATGGTATGCACAGTGGTCCTAACACAGTCCTTGGCATTGTGTCCTAGCCCTACCTTCCAGCTTTGAGGCTCTGAGCAAGCCTTTTAACATGCCCATGCCTCAGTCTCACCTGTAAAATGGTCTAGTGACACCTTCCCTGAGGTCTGTGGTGAGCACTGTGTTACTGTAAGGCACAGGAGCACCACAGGCACGTGGAAATGGTAGACTGAGTGCGAGCTGTCACCATCTCCAGAGCCTGAGTGAACAGATGGGTTTCGCACACAGACCCACCACTCAGGGGCCAGGGGGTCTCGGCTGCATCTGCAGCTCTGCAACACAGGCCTGACTCCACAGGGCCAGAGTGGGCTGTGGTGCCTGGGGCTGAGCCTCAGAAGGGACAGACAGGGTCTCACCAAGGGCTGCTGAAAATGCTCGTCACCGGGGTGGGCAGCGCTCTGCTTCCCACAGGTGAGACCCTGCCTGCGCGGGCCTCTCCAGGGAACCAGTGGGCAGACATGCAGAACCTGCCACACGCTCCAGAGGTGAGACCAGACTCCAGCCCGCCCAGAGAGCAGCTTAAGACCCTGTCTCTCAGCAGCCCTTTGACCAGCCCAGGAGGGGCAGTGACTGGGACAGAGGTGGAGGGGGGCAGGGAAGTATGCCAGGCGCCTGGCATGGTGCAGCCATGCGGCAACTCAGGGTGGAGGGATGGTAAGTGCGGCAGCACTTATCATTGCAGGCTGTGGCTCATGTTTGGTCACAAGAAACATTTTTCAGAAAATGACCAAAAAGAAAATACCAGCATTTCAGTTTTATATAAAGGGGTGTGTTGGGTTCAGACGTAAAATGTTATTTCTATCACTTGCAGTAAAAAAGGCTTTGGAAATACCAGCTTAAAATCACCTCCTCCAAGCTTGGAAGAGAAGGTGCACTGACTGAGGTCCCTGGATGTGTTAGGGGCTCACCTGGGCCTCTTAACTACCCTTCAAGACAGGTGTTGCTAAACTCATTTCACAGATGAGGAAACTGAGGCACACAAAGGCCCAACCAATTGTTTGCAGTATACAATAAGGGTTTGAACTGACTTTAGAGTCAAAAGCATGGTGACACTGACAGCCACACACATGGGCATAAAGAAGAGGACGGTGTCCAGGGTTGGCACACTGCAGGGGGCCTCCCAGGAGGGGATCACATAACACCAACTGCAGGAGCTGACATTTGCTGAGCACTCGAGGGCCAGACCCTTTGTTAACATTTCACACATGGTGTCCATGAAGCCTCCAGTTCCCTGCCCTGACCTGGAGGTAGGTAAGATTATTAATCCTTTCCCTTTTAGCTTCTTACTCAGACTGGATTATGGAAGAAGAAAGCAAAGCCTACTAGGCAGGTCTTGAAAATGACTGCTTCTCCTTGAAGTCCATCATTAGAGTATTCAGTCCCCTCTTTCCACCATGGCAATTCTACTCTTCCCACCTCAGTGTCCTGTCACAGATACATGGGTTCAGCAGTAGTCCCAGGAAGATGTGAGGCCTGGAGCAGTGACAGCCATTCTGCAACCAGGAGGGCAATGCCATGGTTGATCCACCCCAATTCCATAATCCAGCTGCTCACCAGTCTAGCACTGCTGCCTCTGGCTTTCTTATTAATATAAGTCACTACTGCCACCCTCTCTGAGCAGGACAATCCAGGGGCAAAGCTTAGGGAAGAGGCAGGGGTTCCACCCACCTTTCTTCTGTTTGACTCGGAGGAGGTAGAGGGCCGCCATCAGCAGGACTACCAGCAAGGTGCATACCACACCCACCACGATAAAGACATTCCAGCTGTCAGAGGCATTGTTCCCTGCATGGAAGACAGGCTTCACATAGGTAGATTAAAAAGAGAAAAGCAAAAGCCCACTGCTTCTTCCCAAGGCTCTGCAGGCACCATTGATGGAGGACATTCGGCTGGGCTTTCCGCTCCAGCCACATGAGCGTGCAGAGGCACACACTCATTCAGAAGTGGTACAAATGCCATGTTGGGGGCCAGGAGGGAAAATGGGTGCTTCTGACAACTACAGAGGACACCAGCTACTGGATGAGGGCAGCAGCCTCATGCTCAGGGAACAGAAACATGCTCCTTCTCATCTGGAGGAACCAGAGCGGCCCCGACAGCAGCACAGACCATCTCAGACCCTCAATCAGCAACTGCCTGTCAAACAAGCGTGAGGGTCAGGGGACAGGACAGGAGAAGCGTGGACCTGCCAGCTGGCTAGGGGACACTGTAGATGCTCAGGGGCTGACCATCCATCTGTGCTCCGGATCTGGCCCACAGCCGAGGAGCTCTGCGTCAGGACACATAAGGACACAGCAGCTTGGGACCCAGGGCACAGGCTGAAGGTCCTAGAGCATCATGCTTAGTCAGGGGTAGGGCTTGAAGCCACAGACCCACAGGTTCAAAGGATGCCATAAGTAGACATGTGACCTTGGGCAAGACAGCTGAGCCTCTCTCCTCTGCTGGCTTCCTTTGCCATTACCAAGGCCAGCAATAATCTCTACCTCACTGGCTCACTCTGAGGCTACCTAAATAACCATCACCCAATTGATGCTTTCATCCTTTCCAAAAGTATCTGCTGAGTGCCTACTGTGTACTCTGAAGCTAGCTGAACGATACAATCGAGGTTACTCCCAGCCGAGACTCATGGTGAGAGATTCAGAAGCTCATAATCAACATAGCTATGAGCAAGCAGAGGCTTAGAGAGGCACTGAGTTGTCTAAGGTCACAAAGCAAGTTTATGAGAGAGCAAGAGTGGAAGACCACATATCCTATGAAAACAGGCATACGCATAATCAATGGGGGCACTGTGACGCAGCCCTGAGGCTGTGTCTTTTGTGGCTTCCCTGAAGGATGCAAGAAAGGGCCCTGTTCCAATGCATTCAAAGGTTCTGCTGTACAGGGCAGTAGAGACAGGTGAAGGGACACTGCACAGTGGCACTGAAAAGCCACCAAAGTTTAGCTGTTTTCAACAATGAGCTCTGCATTGACCACACATTGGAGGGGATGTGAAACACTACCTGAACACCCTGAACTGTGCTGGGAGAGTGGAAATGTGACCTTTGTCCTTAATGATTGTACCCATAGCACCAACTGTCCCTGAGCGAACCACAAGTATCCTGAACATCCCTAACCCAGGAGGAGGCACACAGCATCAGCCAGGGACACCAACCAGGCTTAGACTAGAAGGGGTAAGGAGGGGGCGGGGCCACAGGAACAAGAGCATAACACTAGGGAAGGCACCAGGCAGGACACCAGGCTAGGACGGTTCCTGGACCCCTCCCTCCCTTCTTTCTTCCTTAGTATCTGTTTGGGTCAAAAAGTCACTGAGCTATATTACCAAACCCTAGAAGGAGTGACTCTTGGAGTGTGAGATTTGGAGAAGGGAAGTTGACATTAAAATTCTACTTTATGTTCACAGAGTTCTATATTGTTCTATATGAAACATGAATACTTTTAACATTTTTTTAAAAAAAAAATTAAGGTAAAAACTATTTAGTCAGCTGGAGAGATAGCCTCACCAGAGATGGTATCCACGTCCCCTTCCTTTTTTGGGGGGACAGAGACCTTCACTGTCAGGTTTTTGGTGACTGCTGGCTGTCCATCGTGCTCCACCTGGCAGGTGAACACTGCGTTCTCCCTGTAAGCAGATGAATTCACCAAGATGCAGCTTGTATAGTCGTAGGTCCCATCCTTGTTCTCTGTGACATTCGAAGGAATTTCCTTCCGGGACACATTTCCATTCTCCAGCCAGGTCAGGTTCAGGGGTCCCTGGGGGTAGAATGTCTTCACCTGGCAGGTGACGTTCACCTGGTTCTCTGTCACTGTGCGCTGCTGGGTGACCTCCACGGTGGGCAGAACTGAAATAGCACAGGCAGAAGCTCTGACCTTATGGCAGAGGTCACAGAGGAGGGGCTGGAGAGCTGAGCTCCCACCAGTGTAGCAGGGGAACCACCTGGGGCAGAGCTAGGCATGCAGCAGGGCTCAAACATTCCGGGTTTGCACATAAGTGAAATCACTAAGCATAGCATCTGGCACACAGGAGGTGCTCAAGGACTGGTGGCTCCTAGTAGGGTAATAATGGGTGAAATCAACACGTGCGATGGCAGGTAGTCAAAATGCAGTAACTGGAGCAGAATAAAGGTAATCACTGGGCACACAGAGGCTTTGAGCATAGTAGGTGCTTGATAATTGTAGTTACTGTTGGTAAAATAAAAGCAACTACCAGCATAGTGCTCATCACATGGTAAGAGTCCACATGCACACAGTAGGTGGACAGGCCTGCTGGGAATGAGACTCCAGGCCACTAAGGCCCAGGTACAAAAGCTATCAGGGAGGATCACGCTTGGTGGGAAGGAGTGGGCTTGGGTTGGGGCCAGGGGGGGTCATCTACCTCTGATGGTGCCTGATAAGTTGGCACTCCCACGGAGGACCCCCTGCAAGGTGTCATGTTTCACCTCACAGATGACCTGTGAGCGAACGTCCCCTGGGGCCAGCTCCACCTTGACTGTGCTAGAGACATTGTAGGAAACACTGTCTCCCATGGGATCCACGCTGGTCCGGAAGTCAGAGAGTTCATTCCCATCTTTGAACCACTTCAGGCTGATGTTTTTGGGGGAGAAGCCATGGGACTTGCAGGTGAAGTTCACTGTCTGTCCAGATGTGGCCCTCTCCTTGGGGCCCGACACGGCAGGGGTAGAGGGTCTGGCTACAAAGGAGCATTTACAGACAAGAAACGTGATTGCAATGACCACCACTGATGGCAAGTGAGTGACACTCTAAGGAACTTTCCTAGACATTATTACGAGGGGCGGGAGGGGGGGTGCTGGGCATTGAGGCCAGATCCTCCAGCATGCGAAGCACAGCTAGCACATGCTACATCCACCGCCACAGACATCTGTGAATACTCCTGAGAAAGCTGAGAGGGCAATGTCCTTAACCTCTGTCTCCAGTCTTGGGATGAGCACATCTGCCCAGTCAGGCAGTGAGAAAGGGGGGCCCAGGTGAAACCAGGCCTGAGGCCGAAGTTCCTCTTTCTGTACCAGGAAGTTTCCAGCAATCTGGGCACAGTGAGGAAATTAGGGACAGACCTCACTCTTTGTATTAACTGCTTCCTGCCACTGAAGGAAAGCATTTGTAGAGATAAACACAGGGCACAAACAGCATGATGGAGGCACCACCACTTAAACTTGAATCTGGCAGGCCACACCAGCGATGTGGTGGGTACATGCTAGAGCCCCATCTGTGACAAGAGACAACTGCATTTCTCCTTGCTGTTGGCAATGAGGGTGAAATGAGGCCCCGGAATCATTTTGCTTTGGATCACATACAGGAGATGCTAAAAAACGAACACACACAGATCTCTATTTCACCAGGTTTTATTCCCATCTAAAGCACTTAGGCATTTACTCAATATTTTCCTTCTTTCCACAAATGTGCCAGCAGGTCTGACCTATTCTAAGCCCTGAATGTGAAAGGGAGAGGCTACAAGGATGTTTTTCTGAATGTAGGACCTTCTGTTGTATCAGCCTGAGGTTGGAAACAGATAACCTAATGCACAGAAAGCCAAAGGTGGTTAAGTTCTTAGTTGCTAATTAATTACAAGCGATACAGGCACAGGCCCACTGAGCAGGCAGCTCTTCCTGGTCCTAACAGCACATGAATGAGTGAAGGCAGTTTGCCCTGTATGGGTCATAAAGGCTGTCTACAAATTGCTAATTATTACCCAGAACCATCTATAAAAGTCACCTGCTAGGAAATATCACACATATTTCCATTTGTAAATATTTAACTTACTCCCTAACATCCACCAAAGCTTAAGGAGGTGTCGCTTGAGTAAGGCACCATCAGGACACCAGCAGCCTACTAGACCCTAAAGAGATCCAGGCTGTGGACTGGCCCTCTGCATGAGGGGTTCTCTAGCTTTCAAGTGAATGAACTGCTGATAGAAAATATAGTTTTAAAAATTGCATCTGTACTGAATATGAACATGGTTTCTTGCCATTACTCCCTAAATAATACAGTGTAACAAGTATTTAAATATTACTTGCACTGCATTAGGCATTCTATAGGTAAGCAACCTGCAGATGATTTAGAGTATGCTGGAGGATATTCATGGGTCATTGGCCAGTACTACACTACTCCCTATGAAGGACTTGAGCAGCCTTGTGTTTGGGTATCTTTGGGCTCCTGGGACTGACCCCCACAGAACTGAGGAACAAAATGCAGTCACCAGTCACCAAGTCCTACGCAGCCTGGCACTGGCTGCCCCTTTATGGGACAAAGCTCAGAGAAGGGTGTGGTTGGCCAAGGACACACAGGATGGCAAAGGGAATAAAGAAAGAACTGAGTTCATCTCATCCTGCAGAGGCCGATTAACTTAACACCTGTTCCTTATCTTCTCAGCCTCAGTGTCCCTTCTGTACAAAGTGAGTGACAACACCACCCTGGAAGATTGAAGACAAAGGCACAACACAGTGCCAGCATTTAACAAGTGCTCAATAAATAACACGACTGCTATTATTAGTATTCTTGAAAATACATTTTTTATTCTGTTGGCAGCTAGAAGGCACAACAGAAGAAGTAAGGAAACTCCAGGAGAGTCTCAGGCCTGTCCCTGTAGCTACCATGAAACCTGATTAAAAAAGGAATAGAAACCACCAAATCCTGATTCCTTCCCTGTTTTCATAGCAATCCCCTCCAAATGAGGCTGGTAAAGGGGCTTCCAAAACACGGGCAAGATCCAGGCACTTCCTCCAGAGCCTGTTTACAGAAAGCTGGCAGCTCTGCAAAGGGAGGAAGGACAGATTCTTCAGTAACATTTCGGGTCACTTGAGGTCCAATGCAGGAGGGTTCTGTGCTGAACAGCAAGGGTTTGCTAGTCTTAGCACCTGTCCACACACAAACATGTGTAAGAGGGCAGGTCCTATACTGAGGCTGGGGTAAGCAGGTCTCTGTCCTGATGTCCCTCAGTGACCCAGACGCTGCTCCTTGAGTGATGTTCCTGCCTGCCACATGGAGCCCAGGCTGCCTGGTCTGTGCTAACCTGAAGCATCTCACACTCCAGCTCCATGGGGAATGACCTTTGCCAGGGGAAACAAAGCTCAGCCCTCCCTCTGTGGCTGTGATTGCCTATACTCAGGACAGAATGTGGATTTGCGATACCCACATAGCCAGGGTGAAGCACCTTCCCTGCCTATGTTCGGGAGTTGTGAGGAAACTTGACTGCTACCACCACATCCAGAGGCAAAACTGGCAACATCTACATGAATCAAAGACACATTCACCCTCTGACCTAGCAGCCTCTTCCAGGGGATTTACCTCTTGTACAGCAGGATGGAGGTACAAAGTCATCACTGCATTGCAATGGCACACGTTTCACATCAACTTAAGCATCTACCTAGAGACGATTGTTAAATGTACCATGATAATGCAGATATTGGAGCACAATGCAGCTGTTAAAACAATGGAGCGGCTTTCTATGTAATCACATGAATCTCAGTAAGGAGTGACCTGTATGTATGGCTTTGCTTTGTAGGAAGCTTTTCAATCACCAACCAGTCTCAAGATCTGAATGTCTGTGGCAGAATGAATCTTTCAGAAACCAATGAAGTGCAAAAATGCTGGTTCTCTCCTCAATGATTCAGGTCTGAAGCTTTTGTTCAGCACCTAGTATGTACCTGGCTCCTCTAAAAGAAAATATCTAACACTGGGGATGCAAAGGCCTGGAATCAGGCCTGTATTCTGGTCCCTATCTGGACACTAACTGGCCACATCTGGGCCTCTGGCTCCCATCTGTAAACAGTGGTTGTGTTGAATGATCTAAAGTCTTTATTGTTGACAATCCTGTAATCAGGCACTAGAAAGAGGGCCTCAGGCTCTGGAAGGAAACCTAAAGTAGGCGTCTTTGCTGTCTCAACCAGAGACCCCCTACAGCACCCACATGGGGGACTCTCCTCTGAGCAGAGGATCTGGAGTCGTCAGTGCCTGTGAGAGCAGGTGCCCAACACAGTGGATTTTGCAGAACACAGGGCCAAGGGTCAACCTCTCAGCAGCTCCTCCAGCCACAGCATCAGTCAACAGGGAGCCGGAGCCTGCAGGATCTTCTCACAGATCTATTTCTTCAGGGAAACAAGGAAAACGCGTCCTGCCTACTTCCTGCCCTGGAGAGACTGGCCCTCTCAGGAGAAGATAAGCTTGGTAGGGGAAGGGCTTCAGCCAGGTGGCTCCCTGCTGTTCCCATGGTCCCCTCAACAGAATCTGCATAGAGCAGGCCCTTAGTGCTGTATTAGCAACAAGAGAGGAAAGCACTCTCTGGGGGCAGGAGGTGGGGCCTGGCCCTGTGACTTGGGCAGGTCACTCAAAGGACTGGAAGACAGCAGAAAAGGTAAGGTCTGTGGAGAAGACACAAGGAGCACAAAAGATCTCTATTTATGAGCCATGGAACTGAAACAAACAGGATGGCCTCTGCAGACCTCAGTTTCTCCAGTCTGCTGAAGTGCTCCAGATCAGGCCCATGAGCACTCACCACCCCATCTGCTTCTCAGCTGGAGCTCACGGGTTGGAGAGCCTGATTCCTGACCTACTGTCACACACTGAGGGCCAGGGGAGGCCAAGCTGTACTCACCACTCACAGACAAGTTGGTGCCTCCTCCAGATAGAATTTCCTTGTCCTCAGAGCCTGTTTTCTGGAACTTTACACAGTAGTAGGTGCCCGCGTCTGCAGGGGTGACGTTACTGATGCGGATTGAAAAGTCCGTGGTATTTCTCTGTGTGGTGTCTGCCACATTTATGACTCGGGGGAATTGGCCTCCTTTGAAATTGAAGATTAACTCTCGGCCTTGTCCTTGTCCCCTGAACCACATGATGGGCCCCACAGGGAGCAGGGAAGTCACAGTGCAGTTCAGAGTAGCCACCTCTCCAGCAGCCACCAACACCGGCTTCTCAGGCTGAATCACCCGCAGATTCTCCTCTGCGGCTGTTCCTAGAGGGAAACACAGAGCAGTTACATCCATCCAGATGGGTCCTGGGTGTTTATCGTGTATCTATCAACAGAAGCCCTCTGCCAGTAGCCCTCGTCTGGTCCTATACCTCAAGACTCTAATACCATTGTGGAACCTGAGGCACAGAGAAGTCAATCAGCGTGGGAAAGTGAGGACTTGTCTGCCTGAGCCCTCTGTAGAACAGTGGTGTCTACCTGAACTCTAGAACTGAAATCTGCATTTACCAGGCAGAAAGAAGCCGGTGCTCTGCCAGAGGGACTGGCTTGAGCAGGCTGAGCTGGGGTAGGAGGTCACCTGGGATGTGTTGGGCTCTTTGAGGCAGTAGTTTCTGTTTCTAGCCCAGACCAGGAAGGAGGCCCTAAGCAGGAAGCTGGACTCAGCCATGTGATAGTAGTAGAGTCTGAGAAAGACTATGTGCTTTCATGTCATGATGAGTGGCATTTTGTGTCACCTGGGGTTGTTACTTGGATGAGTGAGAACCAGTTGTTCTTCCACTGCCACACGCTGCATGGACAGAAGTGTTGCCCTTGGCTTGGGCCTTTTACGGCTCTCAGCCTCAATTTCCTCATCTGTAAAATAGTTACTATGAGCTCATCTCAATGGATCTCTGGCAGAACCAAACCCAGGGCTGGGTTAGTGTCAAAAAGCATCATCTGATCTGGACTCAACATCCCTGGTTTGAAATCTGGTGTGTTCCTCATTCATGTTTATCTATTTGTTTTAACTCTCAGTTTTCTTATCCACGAGTTAGGTAGAACACATCTCAGCTGCCTGCCTTGTTCTGAAAATGATGTACAAAGAAGCCCCAACATGCCTGGCTGAGCAGCCAAGCTGTTGTCATTACAAAGTAAATAAATGAGAAGGGGCTCTTGCTTACATTTCACTCCCACTGACCCTTGCTGGTGTCCCTCAGGCCAAGCTTGGGATGCACTGTGAGGACACACAGGTGTTGGACCAGGCCTCCGGGGCCCCCAGGCAGGCAGCCACAGGAGCCCCAGGGTTGAGCTGTAGGAAGAGTATGGGAGACAGTGAGCCTTAATGGTAGAAGGGGGTAGAGGACACAGCCAGGAAGATGACCAGGTAGGGTGAGGTCGCTTTGAGCTGTACTGCAGATGCCCAGCAGCTAAGTAGGAACAGCTGCAAAACAAGGCACAGTCAGGGTTCCCAATTCTAAACCAGGGGAAGGTGAGAACGGGGGAAAGAAAGGATAGGTCATTAAAGACCCTGAGAAACACACACAGCCATCCCACAGCATCCCTCAGCATGTGGGTATGTGGGGAATTAGTTCCAGGAACTCTCTTGGATTCGAAAATCCAAAGATGCTCACGTCCCTAGGGTACTGTGCCATATAAAATAGCACAGTACTGTATGTGACCTAAGCACATACTCTTGTTTGCTGTAAATCACCTCTAGATTACTTAAATAGACATGTGTCACTTAACAATGAGGACTGAGCAATTTCACCATCATATGAGCATTGAGGTGTAATTACACAAAACAAGATGGCACTCAGGTACATGGTTCATACCATACCCCAAGTACATGGGGTCTATTATTAACCAAAATGAAGTTCATGGTGCACAACTAGTGCAATGTAAATAGTTGTTACACTGGATTGTTTAGGAAACAATGATGACAACAACCAGAAATCTGCACTTGTTCAGTACAGACACAGCCATCATAGGCCTAACTACATTTCTAATCTATGCTTGGTCAACTATGTGGGTGTGGAGCTCAGGATATGACAGGTGGCTGTACACAGAGGTAGCACAGGCATCGAGAGGTGAGACAGAGGGGGAGCTATGATAGGGGAAAGGGAGCTTAAGGAAGACAGGCAAGAGTGGGACAGGTGCTCCAGGCCCTCTCCTGGGCTCTGCACTGACCCTCAGTGTGAGCTTGTCTAGCCTCTCTCCTCTTCTCAGCTAGAAGGCTCACCCCAGGTCAGGGTGAGCAGTCTCCAAGCACCAGCCCAGCACAGCCTGATTCTCACAGCATAAGGAAGAAGCCAGAGCCCATGGAGGTCAGTGACAGGGACTCAGTCAGCATCAGCCAGCGGGGGGAGGGTGGGGAGGTGGAGCTGGTGGCCAGGTGAGCAAGGGCACAATGAGGTACAGGCCAGTCTGGAAGCCACCCAGGAGCCTCAGTTAACACTGCTGCCAGCTGCCAAGAGCACCAAGCCAGGGGCACCCCCAGGGAACCTAGAAATGCTGCCCTGAGAGAGCATGGGCCCTGGACCAGCAGATAAAAATAGGCACCCCCAGTTTAGCACCTTTCTCAGGCCCCCATTCCCTCATTCGCAAACAGAGCTCCTGCATCCACCACCACTCCAGTACAGTCATGAGGGCCATGAGAGATCTACACGTAAACACCCGCTGCATACACACGGGTTAAATGCACGCACCCATCCCTATTATTATCACATAGTTGGATTATTAATATATTTGGTTTTCTCAGGATTGTTTTATCTCCCACTAGGATGCTGCATCCACAAGGAACCATTTCCAGCCTCCTGCCTAGAGCAGTATCTGTGGCTCCTCAACAAACACGCTGAGTGAATACACAGATGAATGGCTGTAGGAGGGGTTTTATTTGCGTGGTGACCCTGGCAGATTCCAAATCCAAGTCTCTTCCCTCATCTGTTCAGTGGAGCTAATACTGGCCTATTTGGGAGCCAGTTATTATTTACCCTTATCAATAATGGTGGTGACCTGTGGGTCAGCACTGGAGCAGGAGCACCCCACTCAGGAGTGGCTGTGGATTCAGCACGCTGCGAGTTGATGCAGGGCTATTCTCGTGGTGCAGCCGGAGGCCTGTAATCACACCCCAGGCAGGTGAAAATAAAATCTGCACTTGGGTAGGGCTGGCTCCCCGCCCCCCTTTTTTTTCCCAGCTCCTCTCAGGCTCTCTCCACCAATCACAGCCAGACTTAGGCATCTTAATTAATTAGCTAGTGTTTATAAAGCATTTGAAGAATTTTAAAAGTGCGACGTAAGTGCCAAACATTATTTTAATCTGGGTTTGTGTGTGTTTTTTCCAGCAGAGAGCTTTTTATTTTTTTCTTTGCTTGCTGTCTTTTCTTTTTCTTTGCAGGTTCTGTTCTGGAAACTGGGCTTGTTAAAAACTGGCTCCTGTGGGCTGAGCCTGGGGTCACCATGCTGGCACAGCTGATAAAACCATTTCCAGCTCTCCCTGGCCCTTCTGGAAGGGCGTCGCGTCACCATACAGGGGCCTGAACCATCCTGGAGGATAGGGTGGCTGGGCTGGTGCTGCCTACTGGGAGGCGAAGCTGGGATGTTCTTTGAGGAAAGACGTTTGAAGGGCCAGCCAGAGCCTGCACTGGGCTGTTTCCCTCAGATATGGAGAGGTCTCCTCCATAAAGTTCTAGAAAAGTTGGAAAACAATCCAAACACCCAGTGATCAGGATGGCTAAGTGACTGACAGCTTGTTTCCTATATGGAATTATAGGCAGCCATAAAAAAGCATCTCTACGAACACCACATTTTTCATGCTGTAATTTTAAATAAAATGGTGGTTATGCAAATAAAACCTGTTCATTGCAAAGTATTTAGAGGAAACAAAACAGTATAAAAACAAAATAATAATCTCTTATAATGCCATCAGTGATATCTGTAATCAACATTTTGATGTGCTGTAGTTAAAAATACAAGTGAATAAAGGTTTCTTTTTTTGTACCAGGAATTGAACTCAGGACTTTGTGTTTGACAGTTAGGCACTGTGCTGCTGAGCTATATCCCCAGCCCACATATAAATCAAAACAACATAAAATCACATCACTGGATAACTAAGGATACATGCAAACATTTTACTTCATTCCTTTAATGGTTCTCCTGTAAATAAAAAATTGGAACAATCCAGTATCCAAGGAAGGAGACAGGCTGATGCTACTGTGGTGAATCCATCTGGCGACCAAATCCACAGGCATAAAAGTAATGATGCAGACACATGCACTGTGAGCACCCACTACAAGGTCAGAGCTGGTTACTCATGACAGATTCATTGTGATCCCAAACTTCTGGTTTGGGGAAGATATTAAGGATTAGCAGTGATTACTTTTCAGTGGCAGATTTACATGGGATTTTGCTGTTATGTTTTCTGTTTGCATTACTTGTGCAAGAGAAGAAATGAAGGAAAACCTGTACTTTCAATATCACTGGGACTTTGTAAGACAAAATAAAACTTTTTATGAACAGCTGCAAGGTACCACCCAAAGCTGTGAAATGCAACTCTTTGGGTCATGAATGTAAACTTAAGAGCTCTATCCCTGTCTCTCTCTTTGGGTCTTTTTCATCTTTTCTAGATGAATGCTAAAGAAACACATATAGTATCTTAGGCTAGGGACAGAGCTCAGTGACAGAGCATTTGCCTACTATGTACAAGGCCCTGGCTGGACTGCCAGCAACACAAAAACAGACATGCACACAAAAAATACATATAGTATCTCACTGTATTTAAAGACACTTGTATATGCATTGTTTGAATGAACCTCCCCTGAGGATTTTGTCTGTTTCCTTTGTTTGCCTGCAGATTTAAGGAAAGTCTAAGAGGATAAGACAATGCAACCATGCTGCAGTGTGTTACACCTGGGAAATAAGAGTCGAGGTGGGATGGAAATGGACACACTTTTATGTTATGCTATAGTAAATAATATATGGAATATATTAAAGTATTTTTATTTACAGTAAACATTTTGGAAAAAATACAAGTGATGATGCAGAACACTTGAACAGGTGTCTTCACAGGGAAGTTAACAGTCACAGGTTTGCTCTAAGAGGAACCTGGGGTCCCCAGTACAGGGTGGCCCACAGGGGTGGCCAGTGATGGATTATAGGATCCCCCTGTGTGCCAGACCCCACACCAAGGGCTGCAAATGATGGTGTCCCTGGCTGCCTGGAAGCTGCACAGTGGTGGTGAAGACAGAGCTGAAGTAACTCAGCCTGAGACAGCTGGCCCCCTACACACC